TTATTGACATATCGTTTGCTTTTATTAAATTGATAACCAAATTTCATTGCTGCAATAATTTCAAACTTTCCGAATCAATTTATCATGAAACTGTTTGACTTTGGAACGTTAAGTGAACTTTGTCTTCCTCAAATGCTGTTAAGATACCTCAAATTGACGAGGTTGGACTAGTAAACAATCGGCCTTGCGGAAAAATATTTTTTAGCGTTTGAGAAATCAGTAATGATCGAGTATTGAGAAATAAATTGTTAAATCGCTGAGATTATAAGTTGAGCAAGTTTTGCTCAGGGTAAAGAAGAGTGAATAGTGAGACAGTGAACTGAATAGGTGAGACACTAAAATATATGACGCTTTGAATGAATTGGACCACGAATCGGATGAGTTGGATGAAAGTTAATTGCCTAAATATATAAAGCGAAAACTGAATGGAGTGAACTAACTTTAGTGCTGTGGGCTATTACACACATATCCCCAGTACACGAGAGGAGAGATGTTTATGGTGTGATAGACATATTAAATTCTGCAAGCAGAATACTGCAATGCTGATCGTACCACGTGAAAATTAAGTCTGCAAGACATCAACACGACACCGAAAGAACTCAAAACAGAGCGCGATTGTAGCCATAGACAGCTGTTTCGCCCTCTTTGGGGCTCGTCAATATGGCGTAACAACCAGAGATCAGGCTCTGATGAAAAAATATCCGCGCACTCTGATTTTAGCCCTGACCGAGAACTCCTCACACCCACAGAATCACTTCATACCACATGTCTTCTGGGGGGCAAGAGTCCAAGTGTCAAGTTGATGTCTCGCAGAGGAAATAAAGAGTTGGCCAATACCAACCTAAAAAACATGGACAAAACCATGCAAAAATTACAGCATATCGGATCTATAAAAGATCTACGGCCCAAAAATTCATAAAGTACAAACAGTTTGTACTTTATGTGATGATTCCGCCCAACCATCCGCATGGTGGCTCAAATTTATAGGCAAAAAGACAATGGCGGAGTTTTCAGCCAATGGGAAATAGGCAGACGTCATGGACTATCCAATCATGAAACACTTGTAGCTATTTCAATATTCATTGGGAAGAAATCAAGGCCTGTTTGTGTAAAGCAAGATAATTATATTAATTGAGCGCTGGGTTTGAGAGATTTTTAATTGCGAATAAAAGCGTTCGTTAAAAAGAGAGAAAAAAAAACATGTAGGAAACCGAATAATTTTAGTTTATAACCGATTAAACCAAAGTTCAGTGGGGAGAGAAACATCTTAAAACTGTCTAACTTACAGCCGGCAGCCGGTTTAGTCAGCGATAGCGCTTGAAACTTCAAACTTCATATCGTTAGGACGTTTACTTAAGAATGTCCAAAACTACCACAAACGAACTTCTTTACGAAAAAGAACATTAAGCGCTCTTTTCGATAGAAAAGAAAACAACTTCACCGCATTACCGCATAAGGCCAGGGTTTGTTTGCAGGTAAGGCCTAATTTTTTTTTCTTCGGGGGGTTGCTTTTTTAACTTCTTCGCCCTCTTCGCAGTTAAGACAGCGTAGATCCAGTATAATTCCATCTGTCAGCTGATCTGTCTTATCCGCATGATCCAATTTGTTGCGTTTGTTGTGTTCTCGTCACAACGTACAATAACAGCAATTTCACTTTATTACCTGATTCACCTTAGGAATAGCACGGATACTTCATCGATCGACTCCAATATTAGATATAAAAGCAAGCGTTGGCGGTCAACCTTTAAGACTGATAGTGATAAATTCTGTCTGTTTATCTATGCTAATGGTAGCCTTGAAGTTTTTCGATAGGATAGACAAAGACACAATTGAGCTTTAGTGTAGTTTTTGTTCAAGCGAACAATGAAGGCGCCTATATTAATCATGTCGACGCAAGAGCGCTCAAGTTACTTCCCAACGTAACAAATCAATAAGAAATAATCAAACTGGAAAGGGAGGACAGCGCTTTGACATCTAACGTTGTCATCCAACGCACCAGTCACCGAAAGGACAATCAAACCTAAAAACAGCATTCATTAATGAAACTAAAGTTTACACTGAAATCCTAAGTCTAATGCTGCGAACAGATGCTGGGCAGTAAAAAAGATGAACACTGTTTGCTAATGAAGCCTTTTATCAGAGAAAAACCACTTAACATAGAACGCATTTTAGAAAACTAGATATCACCCCTAAAAACTTTTCATCTGTTCGGATCTACCGATTTTTCTAGGTGGCCTTTTTAGGGTAAATATCCGTTTAAAATTGAATTATACCATTTTGTAGATGTTCGAAAATCCTAGGAGAGGCAGGCAAGCAAGAAATTTTATAACAAATGTTCCGAAAATTCTAGTTCTCAAATCGTCTTCCGAACAGATATTTTCCCGAAAATTGCTGTTGGGTGCCCCTGTTTTATTGGGATTAAAGACTGAAAGAGAGAAAAGAAAAGCACAAAGCCTGAACGAAACTCAAAAATTATGATTATAATAATGATGTACTGTACTTTTTTTTTTCTTTCCTTAAGCACAGGAATAAGGAAACTTTTACTCTTGGCAGTCCTGTGTAAATATTCGAATCAAATACCTAAAGTGATCCGGTTTTGTCTCGCCGAAGATAAATTGGGTTGTTTTGCCCCTGCTGGCGGTAACGACCGCCCATTAGGAGGGTCTTATGAGAACAATGCTTCCAAGAGCCATTATGGTCCTTGATGCTTCTTAATTCTAAATTTAGCGCAAAAACGGAAAAAAAAATTCTCGATCTTATTGGGTATTAGTCTGTGACATACCCTCTCCGAAAATTCCATCTAATTCGGCTCAAGAACTCTGTCTGTGAAAACTAAATCTATAATGGAAGCATCATAAAATAATTCAATTTGGTCAAGGCTATGATTTTTATAGGAGACGATTTTGTGAGTGTTTTTTTTTCCGCTGATCAATTCGATTCTAACTTTGCTGGTGACTCGTTCATATCAGTAGTCGATGTCGTGACCGCCTTCGAGATACGAAATTACGAAATTCTTCTTTAGAAGAATCACGTTTCTCATTACTTACAACCGACGACACCAACGGTAATGATAACGTCAAAAAAGCTGCAATAGTTTTACTAAGCGAAACCACAACTTTGCGCGTACATCACGCGTTTTTGCACATTACTGTATTTCCTTTGCCGTCACTGCAGGACTACAACGTGAAAATGCCTAATTTCACGTATAATGGAGGACGAAGTAAGCGGCGACATATTTTTCTTTCTCTTTTCAAACGTGAGTGCTGTCCCCAAGAAATCAACTCCAGGGAAATTCCCCTGTATTTGACATTTTAAGGGAATTGGAATAAATGCGACTAAGGTTGAAACAAGGCGAATTCATTTTTAAAATGATGTTTTCACTGTCGTCGCCGTCGTCGATGCTAATTAAAGCCCTAATAAGGGGGGAAGGGGGGGGGGGGGGATACGGGTTTGCTGGCTATTTTAGAACCCTTGACAGATCGGGAACCAAAAACTTGGCGAACCATTGTTCTATATTATACTCTCATTAACAGCTAGCTATGAAGCTAAAATGCGCATTTTCATCATTCCCTACAAGGGGAGAATTTGTTTCTTCGCTTACTTGATTAATCTTCAGAGGTGAGTGTAGGCTTAGTATTAGGAAGTGACCGGATCAAGCGACAAGCGTCAGGGCCACTTTGCGCAATAAGATCAACCGGCGCCACGAAAATTTGAGCGGACATGGGGTATATACGATGCTATTAAAACAAGGAGATGAAGATTGTCAGTTGGCAATAAAAATGGCAAAAGATAAAATTGGAAATGAGACAATACTATCCTGAAATGGGATGTCATGCAGGTTGTTATGAGTGACGTGAGAATATACTCTTAATCCTGAGAATGAAACATTGAAATCAAAACACATTTTTTGTTTACCTTTTTCATTTTAGTTCCCTCTATTTTATATTTCATGTGAATTCAGTCAATTCGTCCGCTCCTCGTTTTGCTGTCACTTCTCTTTCCCGAATTGAATCCACCAGTCATCCCGACCTATTTAGCAACATTTACCGGAAATGTATATCCTTTAATGTTAATTGTACTTGAGGTGAATAACATACGCAGTTTATATAGACTTGCAAAAAGGCTTTAAATAAAAGTGGTCCCAAAATTATAGAATAGTAATTGTCAATACTAAATAATAATAATAATAACGATAATAATAAGCTTAAGAAAAATGGAAGCTTTGATAAACAGTAATTGCTTTCAAGAAAAAAAATTCTCAGATTGAGTGTCCATGCGCTACACTGAGCTAAAATAGCACTTAAAATGATAAGCCTTTCAGTTTTGGCAAACTGTGCCTCTTGTCATGAAAAGTGATAATTGAGGTCAAAATTTGGGATATCTTTTTTTTCCGGTTGTTAACATTTTAAGATGTCTTTGTGTGTGACACGCTGACCGATCATTGTGATAAAGAAGGAATGGTCTTATCTTTTGAGAAGGAGTTTCTCCAGCTACCGGAGGAAAACGGCTGCGCCCTTGTGGCAATCTTTCGTATGCGGTAAAAATAGACATTGTCAAAAGGGTTTTTTTGGCAAAAAAAGGGGCAAACAAACAAAAAGAAGACATCAAGAGGGCAAATTCCCACTAAGAGTTTAGCGTCAACACGAAATTATCCAACGTATAGCGATAAATTCGTGAACTATAATTATTGATCTGCTGCCAAATGAAGAAATTATGCTTACAAAAAAAAATAAAGACATTACAGAATAGAAATAAAAAAATATTATTTTGGTCCTAAACCTTGGAAGGAGCTCAAAGGTTTAACTTAAAGGCACGTTTCCAATAGGATGCTTTGTATTCTTAAGGGATATAAGAAGATAAGCACTCGACAGATTAACTACGATAATGTCGTGAATGATTGTTATGTATAACTTGTGGCATTAACTTGACTCTTCAAATTCCTTGAATGGTATATATATACTGCACGTTTTAAGCAATATTAGTTGCAAATAGCTTGTAAAAGTGATGTCGATGATTTGTGATAAATTGCTGGACTAAAGTGTACAATATGGTCGAATTCAAGCGAAGAGTGGGAAAAAATGTTGCTTCCGAAAGATTCGTTCGTCAGTGTAGTTTAGTGGCAACAATTAGATTTGATTCAGGCAACATCCACTTTCTTCATACAGTTTTTTTCTGTTGCTCCATTTTCCTCTTAGCTGCAATGCCAGGTAAGCTGACTCGAGTTGCTCTGTATATATTTTCGCCCAATGACACCAGCTAACAAGAAAATTTTCAGTCTTCTTGAAGTTATAAGGTTTACTACAAAACAGTTCTTTGAAGTGCATGACTGAAAAGTTCGCCTCCAAGGTTACTCAGACTAAAATTTCACTAGGTCCCTTTTCATCATAAAACTAAGCACTTCGATGAATAACTATGCGGACACTCTGAGGCAAACTCTACTGCCTTGACACTTCCTCGTCCTTCTATTTTTCTATGGCGTTTCGTGTTAAGAAAAACGTAGTTGTAAACGTTTTCTTTTATAAAGCAGTGCAGTTTTTACGTCAGATAATTCCACAACAAGTTCAAGAATGATAGCTAATGATATGATTCCTGTTGCCGGCTTTTTCACATAAAGGCCTGACTATTATCCTTATAAACCCGTTAAGTAAAAGGATGGTTTATAATCAATTAAGATTAACAGAAAGTCACAAGTTCTTAGACAAAAGTAAACACAAGCGGCTAAATAAACAGAGATTTTAGTCTCTGAGAGGACTATGTCGCCCGTGCTCTGACGCCAAGTTTGTAGTTGATTAAATTGATTAGACTGGAGTTGACGCCAAATGTGAGTGAAGTTTGTTGTTGATTCAATTTATTCGCATCCTTGATTTGACGGGTATTTTTGTCCATGCAGGTACCCCGGTTTGGCCTTCTTCTCAGAAAGACTGAAACATTTTCAATCTTGTCCTAGATCCGGAACGGCAAACAAAAAACCATGATATCGATCTGAATATAATATGTCTGTCAATAAATTGTTATTATCATGGTAATCATCATTACTTAAAACCTCTTAGTGAGAAAAGAAAAAAGGGATAAAGTTAAAATGGGACTAACTTCAGTTTAACGGGAATTTTGAAGGGAATTTTTGTTTCAACTCGGCAGGTGCAGTAGCCCTGGAATTCCTCCAGGATCCTCCAGTAGTCCTTTCATCTCACGTTGGCAGGAGTGTTGACTTCAATTGTTCAACAGATGATCCAAACGCTGCAGTGTCACTTTTGTTTTCTGATAATTTTGGAGCTTCTTGGAGTGAGAAGCTAGTCACACCAAATAAAGTTGTCTTGAAGAAACAAGTGTTCACTTTAATAAATATCGTTTTGCGAGATGGTGGAATCTACGCTTGTAGGGCGACAGACCAGTCAGGGAAGACTATTCAATGGCCCAGTAATCATGGATTCTTTTTTGTACAATCAGGTGTGTTGATTCGCTGAGGGCTAGACCATCTTCACGATACTCGCAATACTCTGCAAGCGCTTAAATTAAGGATTATGTGTCACGTGGTTTCTCAGGGGGGCAAACACACGATAGAAAGCAGTCAGGTAATACAAGTAATCATGGGTTTGTTTATTCCCTCATAACAAGACATTTCTGGTGTCTAGAATGAATCACCTGGAACACGATTTCTTGTTTCGGCACATGTAGGAGAAGATAGCGTTGCCGAGCGGTTAGAGGGCTGGACTTGCAATTCGGAGGCCCCGAGTTCAAGTCCCGGCCTGACCGTTAGCTGGATTTGTTCACAGTAGTCCCGAGTTCAAATCCTCGACCACGCTCAGTGAATAGTTATAGCCAGCTGGTTTGCCTCCGACCAGTTGGGATTCTTGACCATGTTATGTCATGATTTAAATTATTTTTTTTGGTCATTTGCAAGGCCCCAACAGCATTAAGTGCCATAAATACTGCCGAGGGTAAATAAAGGAATTATTATTGTTATTTTAATCTTAGAGAGATGTTTATTGCGCTCGTTCCTCAGATACCATTTGGAGAAACCACTGTTGGCATTGCGAAGTGTTGGCTGCTTTCTTAAGCTTAAGGAAAACATCAAATATTCCCACAGATTTTTTTTTATTCCCATAGATATTAGAGAAAGAGAGACATAGACATATAAGACATAGAGTACTTTATCTAAAGACGATTAAAAACATCTGTTTAAAACCGCGACAATTTAAATCTAAAACACTGGTTTACATTTTTGTGGAGTGGGTGCCTGTTGATGAATATATCATTTTCGGATAAGCCAAGGAATCTCCCACTATTTTCAAAAATCCGCAACCGAAGTATTTACCGTTTGTATACCGTAGAACTAGTATCCAGTACATATTATATCGTCTTCCTTCCTACTTTCGTTTACTTTTCTGCTGTTGTTTTAGCTTGTTTCATGTTCGTTTAATTCACGTTAAAATACCTGATTCTTGAACATACTCTGCAGCTGAGCTACCAAGATATTTTGTTTTGATACCAAACAAATCAATATACGTGATGCAAGGGCAGAGTGGAGAAGTTACGTGTGAATGTGAAGGTGCTACAGTGTGTAAACTAAACTGGGAAAAGCAAGAGGATGATGGTGAATCATATGCTGCTGTCCCTGAGAGCCGAGTGACCGTCAACAGAAATTTGTCTGCAAACAGAGTACAGGCTATCCTGAACATTACAAATGCACAGCCTGAAGACTCTGGTACGTACAAGTGCAACGTATTGGTTGAACCTAATAAATCTGACTTCAAGCTCATCGTCATTAGAGTAAACGGTAAGTTGAGCCTAATTAAGCCGTTTAGCTTACGTAGCAGGCGTTTGGAAGTATTTTGCAGGAAAGAATGGGGCGCGCAACGGAGACACGTGAGGGGAGAGACGTGTCTCTCTCGCGCGCCTCCGGTCGTTCTTTCTCGCATATCACTTCCAAGCGCCTGTTACGCAGACCAAAGTCGGTTAAATGTAGTCCGGTGAACTTTCAGAACTTGCAACATATTTTTAAGCGTTCTGAAAGATTATTGCTTGTAACCAGGTACTGTTGTTCTTAATATACTATTGAATAAAAATAAACAACAACTACATTGACAAATTAAACAACAAACAGACAGTTGAAACAAAAAGCTTATTTTTTACCAACATGCTTACACTATAAGTAGTTCGAAAACGTCTTATTTACTTCATTAAAATGCATGTAAAAACTTAATTTATGTTCAATACTTATACCTGAAAAGGTAGCTAACATGGTTATAAAACGTCTAACTTACTGAATGAAAGTTTATACAAAAACTTTAACTGATGTTCAATGAGTTCTTTAAATACGATGATAATAAAGTTTCAACTTCTGTTTTGCGGGTTGTTGACTTCGTACCTTAATTAATACATGTCTTTGAATAATGTGACGTTCTAACACCGTTTTTTGTCGATAGCTCCAACAGCACCTAGAATCACTGCACCCCGTAATGGAAAAACCATAGTTCTAGAGGAGGGATCGACAAAGATCCTCAAATGTATAGCAAAGGGAGCTCCTAAACCTAACGTTACCTGGTACAGAAAAGGCAAGCAACTACACAGCAAACGAACAGTAAATGATCGAAAAAGTTGCAAGGATACTGCTTATGAGGTCTATGAAGAAAACGAGGAAACTTCAGGATTACATACGTTGTATACGGTTCAAGTTCTTAGAATAAGAAGTGTTCTGTATCCAAGAGATCAAGGAGAGTTTAAGTGTGTCGCATCGAATGGAGTTTCAGATGTTCAAGCAGTTTTGCACCTTCAAGTACAAGGTGAGCATGGGCCGCTAGTTGAAGACTGATTCATTTAAGGGGAGTCTCGACCACTTTTTTCGCAAAAAGCTTCGATATTGGCCTGCAGTTTTTCATGATACGACCTCGGGCCAATATTGCCCAGTTGTACGGCTCCCGCGCTCTGTAAGTAAGTCAATACGCGTGCATTCTCTGAATTCTGTGATAGCCATTTCGCATTTTTCCGACCCGACTCTCGTACCAGCCTTTCATATGTAAGTTTGCTGTTCATCTCTTTGCTCCAGGAGATTCTTAGTTCTGTTTGGCGAAAAGCCGTTAGGTAGATTTTTATCAACAATCATTATGTAGAAACTTGTTTCTTTATTGGTCCCTAGTTACAACAAATTCACACCAAGCGGGAAGCCAAGGAACACCCTTTGTTTTCTTTTCTCTCATCTCTACATCTCCAGCTGCGTAGCTGGCGGGATATTCTTGTGCCCGGTGTACTTTCTTGCACTCCCACGCTAATCCCGCCAGCTACGCAGGCTATGCCGAATTTCTGGAACCGTTCCACACAAAATTCTCATGTTAATCACTATCAGGCTGTTTTTAGTGGTATAAATCCCTTTATTTGTTTGTTTGCTTTGTTTGTTGTCGGTACACAGTCGACTTAGTAAAACACCTAAAGTTACGACCACCAAAGCCGATAAATGTACTACAAGGTCAAGAGGCCAGGGTGAAATGCGACCTACAAGGTACCTTAACGGCTACGCTAGAATGGAAAAAGCAGACTGTTTCAGGAGATGTACCTGTTCCAGACAGTTTGGTCTCTGTTATTAAAGACAGGAGCATCAAGCGAACCAGAGCCGTTCTCAAGATTAAATACACGCAAATGGAAGACAGTGGCGTTTATAAGTGCGTCTCAAAGGCTTTCGGCAAAACACATTTCAAGCTCGCCTATATTACAGTGAAAGGTAATTCATTTTTCTTTTAGTAATTGACTAGATGTGGTACTACTAGCGTACGCAGAGAAGATGATAGTACTTTTAATTAGCTTTCTGGTGACGTGATTTGCTCTTCAACTACCGAATCGAGCCACCCTCTGGGGGTGGGGTGGGGGAGCAGAGGAAGAGAAAAAGCCTTTCCTCCTCGACCCCCACTTCTGAAAGAGCTTGCTGCTAGCAGGATACCCTTGAAAAGGGACAACTGGCGCGGTTATAGAGTTCCTGTTTACAGTGATCGACTGAAAATTTTATCTACGAGACTCTGTGACTCTGTGAACTAAATTGAGGTCAGCCGCTTACGGAACTATGGGACGGACCATTAGAAAAGTGATGGGGGGGGAATTTTCAGCTCGCACGAATTTTTTTTTTCGCTCACTGCTTGTGCAGGAATTTTTTTTTCAGGTGAACCCCTCTGCACGAATTTTTTTTTTCCAGACAAATATTGCTTTTTTTTGAACAGTGAAATCTTGATTCACCATCTATGTTTTTGTGCTTTATAAATTATTCTACACTCACGACAGATCAAAGGATACAGGCCACTTTAATGCAAAATCTTTTCGAAAATGTACACACAGTGAGAGAGGAGGAGGCCACTTGGAGTGGACGGCTTCCCTGTGCATTTTTTCGGTCCCTGCCCTCTGGAATTCCTCTCCCACAGCCCATCATGATATTTATTATAATGCAATATACACGGTATGTTGCAGATAGTCCGGCTGCCAATGAGACCCGTACTTTGTGGTTCTTAATTTTTGTTAAAAGCACCAGTGGCAGTGTTGCTGTTTATGTTGTTGACTAGTTAATGTTGGTAACAAATAATTTTATAGAATATTTACAAAGCTACCAAATTCTAATATTTATTTATTACAAATTTTATTTTATTATTTTTACTATAATACAGTATACAGTGTATGCTGTAGGTACACTAGCTGCAATTTAAAAGAAAAACAAGGTTCTAATTGTCTCCTTTCAAAAAGAAGAAAGTGATTTTTGTTTATTCATATTATGCCTGGTAATATATTGTTGACTTCTGAAACTCAGACTTTCTGAAAGAAACTCAGAATTTCTGAAAAAGTCACAATTGGACCTTCCTTCTGCATGAATTTTTTTTCTTTACCTTCTTCTCTGCATGAATTTTTTTCTTGGCAAATTCCCTTGCATGAATTTTTGTTTGGTTTTTTCCCCACCCCCCCATCACTTTTCTAATGGTCCGTCCGATCCCTAGGTAGAAGGTCTCGTAATACAGATTTTGCCGCAATAGTAAAAATGGAAAAAAATGTAAACCTATGAAGCCCGTCAGACTCTTGTGTTTTTGCATGTGGACTTAAAGGTGCGCAACACTCCAGAGCATTTCTATCATTTTGATCTTAATGACCAATAAAAAAGGTAGCGGTAATTTATTCCGTCACAATTTGTGAGCAAAAACAAAGATTAAGGTTAGTTTGTGCACCATCATGGAGTTCATAACATAAACGGCAGCTCTATCTTTGATGTTTGCTGCCTTTCACAACCTGTTTTCTCCACTTTAATAGTATGTGTAAACTGAACTACTTGAAGAAAAAAGGCTTTACTCGAACAATCATAGGGCTCAGGCATGCAGGACGAATTTGCCACATCGTCTATACACCTGTGCACCAAAAATCTGGGTAAAAGCCTGGCATTAGCCTGGTAAACCATGGTTGAACCAGACTTAGCATAAGAAGTAAAATTGAAAGCCTTGTTAAGTCGGTTTTACCAGGCTTTCGAGGTAAACGCGGTTAAAGTTTACCATGAAAGTCTGATAACTCCGGCTTTAACTGAAAAATCTTAACCAGTCTGGTATCACCAGGCTTTCCTAACTTGCCGACTATGAGAATGAAGCCTCCCCAAACATTATCCGTTTCTCTTGTAAGGTTCAAGGCTGCCATTTCGCAGGTTAAGAACTGTCTGAGCAACGAGAAAATACCCCACGCAAGAGAACCCGGACTCTGGAATCCGGGACATTTTGCTTTTTTTCGTGGAAACCAGAATCCAGGGATTTGGAATCCGGAATACAGCTCAAGGAATCGCGAATCCACTAACGATTGGAGTCCGAAATCCAAGTTCCAATAACAAAGAATCCCAAATCTAGTAGCTGGAATCCGGAATCCCCGGCGTTGAATCCAGAATCCAGAATCAAGGAATGTCTTGGATTCTCTTTTAAGGAGTGGTAGAGAAAAACATTGATATCAAATTAATGTATTATTGCTTTTCAGAGTCACTAGCCTTTCTCAGTAAACCTCCACAAGTAATTCGAGGACGCCTTGGCCAGGACGCGGTGATTGACTGCTCTACGAATGATAATGAGGCTACAGTGTCACTTCTACGTAAACCTCATCCATTTGCGCATAGCACAGAGCTCAAACCAAAAGCCAATAAACTCTCTAAGGAGCGAAAAGTGTTTAGGATTCTTAACATCGATATCGGAGATGCAGGAATATACTCCTGTGCAGCGACGAATAAAGCAAATCAGACTATCCAGTGGCCGCGTTTAACAGGATATTTTGTTTTTCTTAGTCAAGAGTCCAATTAACAAACGACACACTTAAACCAGAGCCGTAGCTAGCATGAGGCAACTTGATTTTGGCCCTTTTTGTTTTTTTTTTTAAGAAACTTCAGCTCACTGAGAAGGCTTAAAACCTGGTCCCGAACAAGCATGGCTATAATGCGAGGCTAAACGGGCTTGCTTTAATTAGCGTACATTCATAAACCAACGGAAATTGACAGCAGTTATGTTTTAAAGAGATGGGATGCCTCTGGCCACGGACGGATTACCTTAGCTTTCAGTAAAGAATAAACGACGGGCAAAAAACTTTCACTTTTCTAACTGTTAAGGGAGAAGTTTACTACTCTTAATCATGAAAGTTAGTGACTTCTTAGTCCTACAAGTATAAGAGATGGCAATATTATGACATGGCTGTCTCAAAGTTGGAGAACATAAGCAAGAGTGTATCGAAACAGATAATTGATAAGTGAACGTGATTCTGTATATCATCTAACAACTAACTTCAAAAAAAGTGTTACCTAAGATTTCTCCTAATTATCTACAGTATAAAATCCATAAACGTTGGCTACTCTCGAGCTCGTGGATTTTATTGTTATAATACGTGTTACAACATTTGAATTCTTTAAAATGCAGATGATCATTAACTTGGCACCAGTATCGCTAAGCAATAAAGAAGTGAACTTCTACACTTGCCCAAGATTGACTCTTCTGAAGAAAAATACCACGGAAAATAGTTACAAGAGCATTTCTGAGCCTCTAGATTTGAAAATTTTCTGGAGGGTTGGGGGGTGTTGGAGATATGCCCCCAGCTCCCCTAGCGGCTCGCGCCTTCGGCGCTCGAAACTTGCCTCGTCTTGTTCTGAAGTCTGGTTACGGCCCTGTTAAACAGATCATTTTTTCTCTCACAGCAAGTTTCTTGCGAATGTTTATTGCAGCAATAGCAGTTGTTAAATCATACCCTAACTAAGTAGTCTAACTGCCAACAGTATACGTTGGATTGATGAAAGTTTTCTGAGAAAGAAATTTGCGCGGTTAAATTTGAAGTCGTTTCCGAATAGGACAAGGCGCATTTGGAACATTTGTTGATTTAAACGTGTAAAAATAAGTCCACTTGTCTCGTTCTTGGTGTTTCGTGAGTTAAAAATATTTAAGGCCTTAAAATAACTAACAAAACAAAGAAAGCAAGGCCTACTGTGCAGAGTATTATCAGGTACCGTGCGCACCAAGTCTCATTTCTTCATTTATTAGGTCAAAATAAGGCCAAGAAAAATTGGTGCACAGACTGTATCTTAATAACAAAACTGTTATAATTGAGAAATATAAAAAGATGATTTGACTTATGGGGGACAAGGCCAGCATTTTCCTGGAAGTACTTACAGTTTCCCCATGCAGATTCAGTGTTAGAGCGATAGAATGGCAATAGAGAGATTTAGAATCATGTTTACATCATAATGGACCCCGTGATTAAGTTTGCCCTTTACTTGTTCTACACTGGAATACGTTTTATGATGCTAAGTTCATCCATCAGATTTATTTTGGAAAATTTCATTTCTTAATGTGACTTGTCAACTTGAATCCGGCTCAGGTTTGCCGTTTGCCGTAATCGTGACTCTAAATTTCTCTAATACAATAATTGAATCGTAAGGTCAAAGCGTTATTGCAAAATAGCTAACCGGCGCTTGCCACGAAGGTTAATTAATCGGTGCGTCCGTCATTAACATACGTACAAGCAATACAATTTTGATCAGGATAGAAAGAACCCGGTCTTGGAAAACACTGTTTACGTTTGTACGCAGTGTAGTTCTGACAAGTATGTTGTTGAGGCTGCCCGTCCACAGATAACGAGAGGTGTAGATATGAATGATGACATTGGCACAAAGTAAGAAACATGAGACAATCATAACGTGTAACTGGTGAAAGATACATATTAGTGGGACTAAGGGCAGGACTGTATGTGACTTCAGCTCCCTTGCAAACGTTCTTAGGTTTTGCCAGTAACGCGTGACGAACACCTAAGAACGCTGCGTGGGAGGCTACATTGTATGTTACGTTTTGGGTTGATGAAAAGATACCTCTTTTATTACTTTAGGGATGCCATGAGTGTAACAGTCTAATTGTTTTTTCGTTTCGTACCGTTTTTGCTTTTAGCTTTGTTAGGTCATTTTCAACATGTTTATCATTAAGAGATACCGGCTTTCATTTCAAAAAGAGTGGAAAAACCCCCAGCTTCCTAGATCGGAAGTCTTAAGACTATAATCTTGTTTGTCAGAAAACACTCCTCTAGCAGGAGCCTCAAGGAAAATACTGAGAGCCTGAATATGATTCTTTTTTTTTTTCACAATTGTCTGTCCTTTATTCACAGTTAAAGACGAGACGTTAATGCAGTCATGCTTTATACAATGTAAGCCTGAATCAAATTAATGACATACGTGCTTGGGGGTAAGCCAAAACTTGAATCACGGATGTAAGAAGCGCGAGTTAAGAGGAAGTTACGAAATATAATTACGAAAATGTGGCACAGGGCTCACCCCGATTTGACGTAACCAGACGGGAACTGGCTTCTAATTGGCTGTAGCTGACACACCTAGGCTCTATCGTCTCTTTAAATATGTTTTTACTTGGAACAAAGATAACATGAAGAAAAACTCCACCAGTGCATGATCGTTGACTATTTTGTTTTAACAATGACGATGCGGGAGTATTGCGACGTTTGGCGAGGTTTAGTTTGGAGCGCTTTTTTTCATGCTGTATTTCTACTTATTATTCCAGGTATGTCCAAAGCTAGGTTATTCATTTTATAATTGTGGAATTAATTTGCTACGAGAAGTGTAACTTTTACTCTTGCGAGCCCTAGTCCCGTTGTCCGGCATTAAGGCTACATACTTTTTTTTTTTTTTTTTTTCATGCTTTATTTCTACTGATTATTCCAGGTGTGTCCAAAGCTGTTATTCAGTTTAAATTAATTTGCCACAGGCAGTCCAACTTTTACTCTTGCGAGCCCTAGTCCCGTTGTCCGGCATTAAGGCTACATGCTTTTTTGTTTTTTTTCATGCTTTATTTCTACTGATTATTCCAGGTGTGTCCAAAGCTGTTATTCAGTTTAAATTAATTTGTCTCAGGCAGTGTAACTTTTACTCTTGCGAGCCCTAGTCACGTTGTCCGGCATTAAGGCTACATGTTTTTTTTTTTTGTTTTTTTTTTTGTTTGTTTGTTTGTTGTTTTTTTTTTCATGCTTTATTGCTACTGATTATTCCAGGTATGTCCAAAGCTGTATTATTCAGTTTAAATTATCAAATTAATTTGCCACAGGCAGTTTAACTTTTACTCTTGCGAGCCTTAGTCCCCTTAGTCCGGCATTGAGGCTACATGCTTTTTTTTAAGCTGTGTGTAACTTACATAATTATCGATTCTCTCCAGTCCTTTGTTTAATGGAGGAAAGTCAAAGTATGCTCTTGTTGTTGCTGTTATTGTTCTTTTATATTCTGTAGGTGTAGGAGCTCTAAAGTTCCTCCAGGATCCTCCACAACTCCAGGCATCTCATGTCGGCTGGAGCGTTGACTACAATTGCACAACAGATGACCCAAATGCCACAGTGTCACTTCTACAGTCTAATGATTTTGGGTTTTCTTATAATGTGATTTCAGTCACACCAAACAAACTTCTTTTGAGGAAACAAGTGTTTACCATAGTAAATCTTATTCTTTCGGATGGAGCATACTATAAATGCAAGGCCACGGACCAGTCAGGTCAAACTATTGAATGGAACAGTGGTTCAATGTTATATATACAAGCAGGTCTGTATGTAAGAATATTTTGAGTAAATTGGCACTCGTGAATAGCTAAAAGCACTTGTACAATAAAGGAAAGACGTTCCACATCACAAAAATTCAAATTTGTAAAATTATGGGTTTGGTCGGCATATTCAGAAAGTTAAGAAAATGAAAAAAGTCCCCTTGCGAATAATGAGCCGGTTAGTTCAAATTGGTGGGGATGATGGTGGGAGATAGCGGGGCCAGTGTACTCCCTTTAATTTAACTGGCAAATTGTTTGGGAAGGTGAAAGCCGCTAAAAATACTACCAACAAAGAATTTTATTTCTTGGCATCGATCTTGATGGTATGAAGTCAAAATTGACCCAGACTGCTTGTTGAGGATTTTTTACAAATAAAAACTTGACAAAAATATGCTTCCAAATGGTTTCCTATAAAGTTTATCACCGCATGATTACTCCGAACTGCAACATTTTTCAAAGCTAGTATAAAATGTCGATCCAATGTCTCACAGGCTTTATTTTGAGACCTAGAAAGCAGAATAAACAGTTTAAGAACTATGAAGAAAAAGGCTAAAAACATTGACCGTTCGATACAAAATGGTGCTATCTCCATAAATTTCTTTGTAAAATGACAACTTTGCTTCGAGTTACCTTTCAAGCTTGTAAATCCAGCACCGTTCTTCGACAGCACCACACACTTGAAAGTTTAACTGTTTGATCATTCAGCCTCGTAGTTCGCTGCAGAACTCATGCCATTCCGGAGAAAAATCCCCAAAAATATAACCAAAGGTGAAAGATCTTCGCGTTCCGTCGCCAATACTAAAGTTCGCGTGCTGTCAAACTCCATAAAATATCTAAAAATTGACTAACATTGATCAATAAACAGCAAATTGTCGCCCATGTTGTTCTCTTTTTGGATCGAGTCACCACAGGTCACCCAAGACTGAAGGAAATGCCCGCTGACCATTTTTCTGGAGCCCCCTTCCCGATCCTTCCCGATCGGACGAATTCGTCCGATTGCCGGTTAAAGGGTTTTAATAGCCTAAACGGTCCCGAGGCTCTGCCCGAAAGGGGTTCCCTTTGACCGTCGTTACGTATACGATTGTGGGAATGACTAAATGGAAGATGCCGGGTTAAGACTAAACTTCAAAAGTGTTTCTTTCTTCCAGAGTTTAACTGACTTGCAGATTTTTTTCCTTTCTAAGCATCTTTTTATAACACAGATCACATTTTCCATCACGATTACCTCGATTCATGAGGTTTTCAAGTAAAAATAATGGAATACATTCAAAATGGCGGATTGCTCCAGTCGCTTCTTTACGTAATAAATGACCTCATCATGACACCACTACTATTTTTAACAATCTTTAATTTGTTAGCTAACTTCTCGATATTAACAAACACCTTAATGTTATAACTATTTTTCCTTTTATGGCCAAGTCAAGGAGAATTTGGATTTTGCCAATAAATTGAACAATACGAGGTCATAATAACATAAAATTACGTCATTGTGTCAATCAAATTATGCCTAGATGTTGGAAATGATGAATGCATTATTTGTGTAATTTTAGTGGCTGCATCATGAGCGATTTTGAAGGTATCAGGGGGGTGGGGCTTCGAAACCTCCCCGGAGTCTCAGGAACCCCCAAAACTGACATTATCTGCATGCGAATATGCCACAGAAGGTTGGATCAAGAGAAGACCTGATCAGCAAAAATATGCAAAGTGGACACATGGAACCAAAAAAGCCCGGCCTGAATAGGATTTAAGTAGCCCTGTTATATTTTAGGACTTTTTGAAAAACACTGGCGTACAATGTAAGCCTTATGAAAAATGTTTAGAGACTATGTACAGTACATCGTATTAAATACAACACGTAAAATATTGTGCATATCTTAAACTTTTTTTGCAGCTCAGTTGCCTAGGCATTTTGTTTTGAAACCAAACAAACCATTCTATGTGCTGCAAGGGCAGAGTGGAGAAGTCACATGTGAAGCTGAAGGCCCTTCAGTTTCTACGCTAAAGTGGGAAAAGAAACAGGATGATAAATCATATACAGCCGTCCCCAAGAGCCAAGTTAATATCACTAAAGATGCAAACTATGTGAGAGCGACCCTGAAGATTACAAATGCGCGGTTCGCGGACACTGGTACATACAAATGCACGGTATCAGTTCCACCAAATCTATCAGATTATAAGCTGACAGCCATAAAGGTCAAAGGTAGGTTTGTTTGTTTTTGTCTGTTTGTTTACACTTTAGTGGGAGTTACTGTCCAGTCAGAAAAAATTGCTCAATATTCATTT